TGTGCTCACTTCAGCAGCACACATACTGAAAATCTTTTCTTCTAGTCTGTGGTTTGTCTTTTCATTTTCTTAACTCTGTCTTTGTAAAGCAATATTTAATTTTGATGAAGTCCAATTTACTAGTTGTCTTCTATTTTGGATCATGCCTCTGCTATTTATCTAAGAAATATTTACTTAACCTAAGGTCACATTTTCTTTTAGAAGTTTTGTATTTTTAGATTTTACACTAAGGTTTACAATCCATTTTTGAGTTAATTATTATGTATGATTTCATTTTATCTATGGATTGAAATTTTTTTGCAGACAAATATCTAGTGATTCCAGTGTCATTTGTTGAAATCCTTTCTGTACTGTTCTGCCTTTGCATCTTTGTTAAAAATTAGTTGTCTATGTAGTGAGGGTCCAATTTGGTACTTTCTGTTCTGTTCCATTAGTTTACTTATCTTTACACTAATGTAACACTGACATGTAGGCTTATAATTAGTTTTGAAGTCAGCATTAACCTTCAAATGTTGTGCTTTTCCAAAGTTATTTTTGCTATTCTAATTTTACTGGCTTTCTGTGTAACAGAACTAGCTTATCAATCTACTAAAAAGCCACTTGGGATTATATTGACTCTATCAGTATATATGGAGAGAAATTAAATCTTATTATTGTTGAGTCTTCCAACCCACCCACAAAGTATATCTCCCCATTTTAGTTAGGATGTTTTTAATTTCACTCAGGAATGTTTCATAGTTTTTATTATAGAGTCTGGAACACCTTTTATTATAGAGTCAGACTTATTCCTGTTATTTATTTTTAAATGCTATTTGAATGGAATGGCATTATTTAAAATTTCAATTTATAATACTGTGCTGCTAATATGTAGAAATACAATAGATTTTTATATATTGTGTATCCAGCTCATACCTATTAATTTTAGCTTTTTTTAAGAAAAAAAAGATTGTTTATTTTCTCTGTAGATGATTATGTATGCTGCAAGTGGAGTTCATTTTTCCACCTGATCTGATGGCTTTTATTTCTTTTTCTTGCCATATTATTTTAGCTAGGACTTCCAAAATGATGCTGAACAAAAATACTAAGGATATGCTTTTTTTTTGTTTTTTTTGTGACAAGGGCTCACTCTGTAGTTCAGGATGGCCTGATCACTCTGGGGCCCAGGCTGGCCTTGAACTCACAGGGATCCTCCTGCCTTGCCCTCCCAAGTGATGGGATTACAGGGTGTGCGCCACTCAAGAACACACATTCTTATTTTGCTCCTGGTCTTAGTAAGTAAAGTATGAAGTCTTTCAACATTAGTAAGATTTTTCATGTGTTAAAGAGGTTTTCTCGGGCTGGGGATTTAGCTCAGTGGTTTGGTGGCCTGCCTCGAAAGCGCAAGGACCCAAGTTCAATCCCTGGTATCAAAAAAAAAAAAAAAAAAGGTTTTCTCTATTGCTATCTTGATGAGTTTTTGTAAAATTATGGATTGATGTTAGCTTTTGACAACTGCCTTTCTTGTGTCTATTAAGATAACTACAGTGATTTTTCTTTTTTAGTTTGTTGATTTATTGAATTATATTGATTAAATTTTCAGTGGTGAGCTATCCTTGCATATCTAAGATGATCTTACCTGGTGATGAATTATTATCTTTAAATTCATTATTAGATTAGTTTTGAAATATTTTGTTTAAGATTTCTGAATTTAGGTTCAGAAGTTTATAATTATGAAATGGTCCTCTTATCCCTGGGAAAGTTCTTTCTTCCAAATGTACTTTCTCTAATAAGCCACTCAAGCTTTCTTCCAATTAGTGTTAGCGCAGGTGCATTTTTCTATTCTTTTTCTTTAACCCACTTGAGTTTTTCTATTTAAAGTATGCTTCTTATACACAGATACTCTTTATCCGTAATTTTGCTTTTCCACAGTTTGTTACCCGAGGTCAACTGTGAATTGAAAATGTTAAATGAAAAATTCAAAAAAGAAACAGTTCATGAATCTTAAATAACTTCTATGATAGCATATTGTTATAATTTTCTCACTTTTCATGAATTGTTTATCTTTTCCCGGGCCCAATTTATAAATTAATCTTTATCATAGGTGTGTCTTTCCAGGAAAGAACACGGTAGGAGGCTGGTTCTCCCTGCAGTTTCAGGCATCCACTGACCGCCCGGCCCGGGCACATATTCCTCGCAGATGAGAAGCCGACTGCGCAGGGCCGCTCGCTTCCTCAAGTCTGACGATCCTCCCTTGTCAGAAGCCATCAGACTCGGCCCTTCATGTGATCATTAACAGTTAGGATTTAGCCTCTCATCTTATTTACTCTCTATCTCAGCTATTTTTTGTTGCCCCTTTCTTTTGAATTAACTGAGTATATTCTGAATCCATTTTATTTCTCTTGTTAGCCGTGTTTGCTTTGTTATTTTAGGGTTTATAATATATATATTTAACTTACTTGTCACAGTTTACCTTCAAGGGATCTATCATTTGATATAATTCCACTCACCCTCCAAGCCTATATGCTATTCTTTCATGCATTTTACTTCCATTATGTTACAATCTCACCGTATAATTCTTACTTACTGTCAATTATCTTTAAATAAATTTAAATAATAAAGAAGGAGCTTTTATAATACTCTGTTTTACCCCATGTGGTTACCATTCCCAGTGCTCTCATTTCCCTTGTGTTGATCCAAATTTCTATTTGGAATCATTTTCCTTCTGCCTGAATTAGTTTTTTTTTTTTTGAGTGCAGGGTGGCTGACGGTGAGTTCATTCAGTTCTTGTTTACATAAAAATATTTTTTCTTTTTTTTTTTTAATGTTGAGCAGCCAAAAAGTCATGGTTTACCACATCTGAAGAAAATTTCATGATTCAAACACAATTAAATGCATATTTTAAAGTTAGCCTCTATTTTCTTTGCTTTTGTTTTTGAAAGTTTTTTTTTTTTTTTTTTTTTTTTTTTTTTACTGAATAGAAGATATTGTACCAGATAGAAAGATATTTTGTCTAAAGAATGAATATAGATTTCTAGGTTGTCTACATTTTTCTTTAACTTCCATAAAGATGTGATTTCACAGTTCCTTTTTGGTGAAGGCAGGAACCAAAAATCTGTTGTCATTGTTACATGTATTTTTGGTAGCTGGTTTTAAGATTTTGTCTTATTGTGGGTTTTGAGAAATTTGATTACCACATGCCTTGATGTTGTTTCTTTCATATTTTCTGTGGTCCGAGTTTGTTGAGCTACTTGGATCAATGAGTCATTTTCAACTCTGGAAAAATTTGAGTCATTATTTCTCTGAAAAACATTTCTCATTCTCCTTTCATTTTCCCCATTGAGATTTCACTGACACATGTATAAAGCTGTCTGAAGTTATCATATATCACCAATACTCTTTCTGTTAGAAAATTATTTTCTGTATTCCATTTTGGATGGTTCCTTTGTTTTATCTTCATGTTCACTAACTTTCTCCTGCAATGCCCAATCTGTTGTTAATCCTACCCGGTATATTTTTCATCTCACACAGTACAGTTTATATCTCTAGAAGTTTGATTTGGGTCCTTTTTAAGCTTTCCATGTCTCTACTTAACTTTTTGAGCATATGGTGCATAAATATAAGTATTCATCACTTTTCTGAATCGAGCATCTGCGTCATCCTTTGTCAGTTCTGGTCTGGTTTCTGCTGATGGATTTTTCTCCTCATTATGAGTGTAGCTACAGATTCAAAACCTTTTGTCATAGAGCACCAAACTGCCTTCCAAAAATGTTTCATCATTTATCTTATCACCACCAGTGGCTGGCTGCCTCCTTATTCTAGGAGCACCAAAGTCTGACAGTCTTTAATTTCTGTCAGTCTCATAGGCTAACACTATTAACTCCTGGAAATGATGTTTTTTGGGAACCAGCTACCAGCCACCGACAGATGACGGCAATTCTGTGGTGTTCAGGAAGCAACAGTAGCTGCCTTCATGGTATTTATCACCTTGTGGTATCTGTCATGTTTTTATTTACATTGTCATGGATGTGGGGTATCTGTCCTCAGGTTTATTGACTATATTTCTTCTTTGGCATATTGCCTATTATCCACTGAACAGTTTTAACTGTATGGTTTGGATTTTTAAAACTTCTTTTGTAAGAAGCTATTTATTAAAAACAGACATTCACTTTCACCTTTTCAATAATTAATTTTGCAAACAAATGCATTTCCTTTAAAATAAACTATCACATGTACGTGACTTTCCTGAGGAAATGATTTACATTTACTGAAATCCTTCTTTCTCTATTAAATGTAAATAGAAATTGATTCTGATGTAAAAATGCCATTAAAGGCAAAGATTTTTGAATTATACAAAATGTATTCATGAATACATAAAATACATAATCCATACTAAGGAAAAATTTCCATAAATATCTGACATCAACATACAGTATGAATAGCTTATATTCTTTAGAAATGCTCATACAGGTTCTAAATACTATTTTACCCCCTTAATAATAAAACAGAAAGTCCAAGTGATGAAACATTGCCTGATAATATATTTCCAGCTGATTAAATATTTCTGGTGAAGTAATGCCATCTGTACTGCAAATGCCCCATATACAAGGTTATTAATTTATAACAGTCTGAGAGCTATTCTTCAAATGGTGGAAATACCAAAATCACCATCATCCAATGCTTGCTTCTGAGGAGCAGGAGGAGGAGCAGAGCTTTTAGAGGAATGTGCTACCTACTCACTGGCTGTGCAGGTAAATGCTTGGAGCCCCAGAGGCCTGAGTGAGGCGGGTTCCATAAAAGGCCTGGTGTCTTTTCAGTCTTCACAGACAATGAGATGTGGGCAGGGAGAAGGGGCACCTGTGGCCAGGGGTGTGACTTGCAGGTGTCACAAATCGACCCTCTGCACATGACGGAGGGTAAATGAGTCAGGGGAACAATTTTATTGCTAGTGGTGAAAAATGTGGCCAGCACAGCCCCATGAGGTCCGCCCGCCAGGTCTGTTGGCCTCGGGGCCCCTGACTGACCTGTTTGGTGCAGGTGGTCTCTAGCCACCTCAAACAAGCGCAGGTGCATGTTGGTGATGGGGTTGAAGGAGCCACAGGCCAGAAGCACCACAGGGATTCTGTTCTTCATCTTGTCAGGCACATCCACATGTCCTGCAGTGGCCACCCTGCCTCTGTGAGGAGAAAAACTCACGTCAAGGAGCTGGCTCTGAGGCACCTGTCTGGATTGGTGTCTCTAAACCCAGGTCACTCACTACACCTACTTGGAAGATGACTGAAGAGGCAATAGGAATAATAGCATTTCTGGGAAGTCCACTGGGGGTCAGGGACTATGCTAAGTGCTGTGTCGAGGTATAGGCTTTCTTTTGCCAAATCTTTTCAGCAACCCCCAAATGGTGACCTTAGAATTTTTTGGGCCAGGACTGGAATGCAGTAGACCTCACAGCCCATGTTCTGCTCTTAAGCCTCACATGCTTTTTGAGTGCTAATGGGTCAGCTTGAGGTTGAAAGGGATTGGTAAGATTCCCTTCATGTCACCTTTCATGGTCCAAACAGAACGCTCCAGGATCTCAGAGTGGACCAGCATTTTTGAAACATTTTTCATTTTGAAATAATTTTAGTCACATAAAAAAATTGCAAAAAGTGTGTACAGGGAATTACTTTACACTCTACCCATATTCTATAAGTGTTAACATTTAACCACACTTACTTGGCTATTCATCACTCTTCCTACACACACACACACACACACACACACACACACACACACACACCCCTATACATGCCTACAGGTAATTTTCCCTGAAGCGTTGAGAGTAAGTTATAGACATCATACTGCTTTACCTCTAAATACTTTAGTATGTGTTTCCTAAGAACAAAGGCATTTTCTTACACAACTACACAGCAATGATTAGAATCAGGAAATTAACACTGTTACAGGACGATTATCTGAAGGCCTTAGTTTGATTTCATCCACTGTCCTTCACCTGGAATCAGAGCGCTCAGGAGGCTGAGCCCACTCTCAGGCTTTGCACTCACTCTGGTGTGCAGCAGGCTCTCCCTGCCTCCAGTACGCCCTCTGGAGGTGGTAGGGGAGAGCTGCACTGGGGACCAGCCACTCTGACTCCTGGTTCTGCTCCTCCGCGGTTGTGATATGTAGGGCAAGTCATAGCCCTCCTCTGAGTCTGCTTCCTCATCTACAAACTGACGCTGACAAGGGAGAAAAAGCTGGTCGTGCTCCTGTGGTAGGTAGCTTCAAGATGGCTTCCAGTGACTCTCACCATCTAGTAGTCACCTGTCATCCCTCGCCTTCAATTTGGACTTTACCTAGTAACCTGCTTCTAATGAATACCAAGGGTTAGGAAGTCTGTCGCCTCTGAGACAAGGCTACGAAAGCCGGGCTCATGCTGATAAAACCAGCTGCCATACCGTGAGCTGTCCTGGGAGAGGTGCATGGGGCATGGGTTTGATGGAGGCCTTCTGGCCAAAGCCAGGAGGGCCTGAACTGGCTGACAACTAGTGTGGAAGCAGAGCTTCCTGAGGTGAAGTTTTCAATTGAGGCTGTGGCTCTGTGAGCACTGGCTGCAGCTAGATGAGAGACTGAGCCAGAACAGACAGATATATCTGAATTCCTGACCCACAGAAATTGTGAGGTAATAAGCTGAGATAATAGATACAAATAATAAATAAGTGTGCTGCTTTAAGCTGCTACAATTTGTAATTTGTCACACAGAAATACGTCATTAACAAGGTGGCCAACAGGAGGAATGCATTCATTCCCTTTCTTGCACCTCTTGCCATAGTGGTCTTGGCTGCAGTGGTGCAGTTTGTGGTTATCAGGGAGTGTTCTCAGTCACTGGGACCAGAGATCCTCTCTGTAGCTAACGTGGTGCTGAACGTAGGGCCTTTGTACTATATTATATCCTCAGCCCTGTTTTTTTTGTTTTGTTTTTTAGAATTTTATTTTATCTATATTGAGACAGGGTCTCACTCTGTTGCAAAATTGTCTAGGCTAGGCTCGAACTTGTGACCCTCCTCCCTTAGGCTTCCAGACTGTACCCACCACAGCTGGTTTAAAAAGGACGTTTAACCTTGCCCCTTGTCTATCTTCCAGGCTTGCCTCTAGTCACTTTCTGCACTGGCAACAATGAGTACTTGTCGGTGCTTTCTCTGCAAGCAATCCTTGGCTCATGCTTTATGCTTCCACAGGGCTACTTTGGTTTTCTCCCAACCAGAACATCCCAATCTGTTAGGATTTAACTCAGATGATCACATTATTTATAATTTCAATCACTATTTATTGACTACCTGCTAGGTTCTGTATCAGTTAGGGATGCATTGGCTTTACATCCCAGAAATATCACTGCAGGGCTTACAGAGAGTCCATTTGTTTCTCACATAACAAAAAGTCTAGAAGTAGGCAGCATCTTGGGCTGCAAGCTCTGAACTTATCCCTTATAGTCACAAGATTACTGCTGCAGCTATAGCCATCTGACCTTAATCAGCGCAAGCCAAAGAAGCAAGGAGCTCCACTAGACGGGCTGTCTAGTAGAACACAAGCACTGCTTCAGAAGCCACACCACAGATTTTGCTCTTGTCTTACTGGCCAGAGGAAATCAGATGTCATAGTCTACTGAAAACAGATGCCCATGTGTGTTTCCTATACCTCGGACAGTAAGTCACATGAGAGCATGGACGGTGTTTTGTCTCTAGACCTCGACTACAAGCACAGAGCCTGATCCAGAGCAGGGCTTAGTAGAGGCTAAAGCAGGGCACTGACCAGATGGTCAGTAGATCTGCCTACTAGTAGTGGAGAGGCGTAATGCACAGAGAAGTTGTTCTGGATGTCCTCTGAGCTACAGTGTGAAGATGAAGGTGCTCAGCCTAGGCTTAGCACTGGCTTTCCAAGTTTCATTCAAGGCAGCAGTAATGCCCACTCCTGTGAGTGAGGAAAGCAGAGTAGGACCTGCTGACCTGCCACTGGATTCTTCCTGGGTGGTGGTGGAGGGGTTTACTGAGATATGATTTATAGAGTATTTATTGAGTCATTAACATGAGCAGCCTCCTGATGAGTGCATTTGAAGAGGGTGACTGTTTTTCACAACTATTTTGAAGTCTTTCATTGTTCTGTTTCATTTTAGAGCTACTGAAGCTTGTAACTGCAGCACCTTGGGTAGCCTGGGGTTGTGATCCATTTTTCCAAAAGTTTTACAAAATATAAATTAGAATGTTTGAATTTGGACTTCAATTTGATGTCGGGAAGACTAAATAACCCATGTTAGGTGCCTTGTTTCTCTTTCATTCCTTCCCAGCCACATCTCAGGCTGGAGAACCCAGTGTGTGCACATTCCAGGCTCAGTAATGAGGGCAGTGCATGGCCATCTGTGTGCTTCAGCTGACTTCAAATAAGCCCCTCCCAAGCAAATGCAGAAAAATATACAAAGCTAGGGTTGAAATGGACTCACTTGAGGGGTCCATCATGGGAATAAACTAGGTTTGGGTATAAGTGCAACCTCATCAGACACAAGGCAAGGTGTGTGCAGTAGAAGAGCTCCATCTGCCCTTGTCATCTAATAATGTCTAGCGACACAAGTAAGTATGGGAGAGTTTTGCTATGGGGAAAGGCTGCTCATCAATAAGCGTTTAATGGAGGCCCACAGAGTGGGCAATAACTGCTGCTGAAGGATTTAACAAGTTGAGAATTTCTTCCTGGAATTTCCCATTAGAGACAAAACTCTCCTAGGTTAGCTCTGGCTCTCCTTTCTCTCTGTCTTAACCGTCAGCTGCTCAGCATTTCATCCAGCTCCCCTATAAACATAGTTATAAAATGCCTCCCTCACCCTGCCACCCTGGCGATCCATCTTCATGGTTTTCTCCTTGGAATATTTAGCTCTTAGCCTCCTCTCCCGTCATGCTAACGCTGTACTATTATACACGTTATTACTTTCTTCTCATCAACCACAAAGCGTCATTGTTTTTTCCCCACGCAGAAGGTAAACCCCAGCAGGTGGTTTCCCATTCATCTTTGTTCCCTCACCTCCTATGACTGTGCACAGCACATACTAGGTACTCAGGAAATGCTGAGGGTAAGTGCCTGTCTCTCCCAGGTGTTTATGTCACAGAGCTAACGGCCACCTCCTCTCTGTGGCTCTGTTTCACAGACCGGGCCGTCCAGAGGTAGAAGCTGACCTTTGCATTTCCTAGGGCACTGAAGACCCCTCCCACCAGACCCGTGTAACTAATTCAGACAGAAATCAAACAAGACAGCCACCCTGCCGTGCCATCTCCAGTGTCATGATCTCATCAGCAGGGCTGCACGGCCTCCTGCACAATGAGGCCAGTTCACCCCCATGCCTTGGAGAACTGAAGTTGAAGGCTGCCCTTGTGCCAGCAGAGTCCAGCCAGCTCCTTCCAGATCCCCTTTCCCAGGTGCCGGCCTGCTCCTCTGAAGAGGCGACAGTGGAAGCTTCCAAAAACCATCTAGTATTTGCACCCCAGCCAGACCTTTGGCACTGCCCGCCTGAGCTATAGCCACTGGGAAGCTGTTTATTTAGTATCTACTAGTAGCCAGGCCCGCTTCTGAGCTCTGGGATACTAGGGAAGGCAAAGGAGATGCGGCAAGGCTCTGTCCTTACAGAGCTTCCAGTTATCCGCAGGATGGGCAATTCATCATGTAATTGCCACAGGACATGGCCCAGAGCTTACCGCCTCTCTGGCAGAGGCAGAATGACAGTGCCTACATGGCCACATCCTCCTAATCCTTGGAATCTGTGAATGTTATGTTGCATGGTACAAGAGATTGTGTAGAAGTGATTACATGAAGGGTGTTGCAATGGGAAGGGTCTCCTGACTTCCATCATGAAGGTCCCTGTAGGAGGGAGGCAGCAGGGTCAGACAGATAGCGAAAGATGATGTGTGGATGACATGTGGTCAGAGGGGAGAAGGTGCTGGGAAGGGCTGCACACCAAGCAATGTAAGAGGCCTATAGATGCCAGCAAGGGAAGGACATGGCATCTGCAGAACCGCTGCAGAACAAGGGACACCGGCCTTCCCCACCTTCACAGCATACTTCCGACCTACAGAACTATTCAAGGTTTTCTCCTTGGAATGTTTAGCCCATACCCTTTTCTCCCACTGTGCGAATGCTGTACTCTCACTTTCTTCTCATCAACCA